TGAAAATTATGCTGAATCCTGGTCTTAACTTCGCAGAATTGGACAGTACCAACGAATCGAAGCCTATGTGCTCATATTTTGTAGATGACATCCAGGCAGAATAGTCCAAATAGCGGACAGGGGTCCTCGAGGTCTGTGTCCCCAGAACGGTCGTTGAGGAACACACTTGAAGAAGAGAGAGCTCTCATCATCCAGAGGAATTTAAAGAAGCTAGCAAGCCTTGGACTACAGGTCACCAGGCCTTCAAGCAAGCCTCCATCTCGTCCGCCAAAACAGCGCTCACAACGAGGAGCTGAAGAAGGACACCCTCGACCATCAGCATGTATTGCTACTATGCGTGCTGCAACAAAGAGGAAAGCCGCTGCCGCCGAGGGTGCGGTCCGCAATAAGGTATGACCGGGTCCAGATCGGGTCAAACCATTCATTTCCCTTCATACGGTTACCGCAGACCATTTCTCTCATTCCAATTTTCCAAATTATACTGTTTGACACGATCTGGGACCTGCAAGAATGTGACCTCGTGGGGAAGACCAAGGGCTGCTTCCTTGTTGGAGCACGTAAGAAGAAGGACATCAAGCCCGAGGCTTTGGGGGCTGGATTACTATTGGGCGACCTGGTAAGCTTACATGCTGTCTGACAGGCGGTCCGCTGTGTGTCTGTATGTGTTCGTACCCTAACAAAGAACTTCCGTCTGCGTGCTTGTAACTGCCGCCTGGCCTCTTACCCCATATGAACATACAGGGTGACGAGACCGCTGACGGCTGCACTGATCTCCTGGTGATTGGCCGCACCATGGGAGTCATCAAGGACCTTGGCACTGTGCACATTCCCCCGACTGGCCAGTCCTTTGCACTAAACGACCGGCCACTCCGCCTCTTCCAGAAGGTAAATCAAGGTTGAGCTGTGATACCATGTCTGCATCACATGTGTTGACTTTGTTCTGGTTGCTTCTGTCTGCAGGTGCGATGGCCCATTGTGGGATTGCTCGCAGTCAAGGGCAAGATGACCGCAGTCCAGTGGGCCATGAGGACCACTGGGCTGAGCAAGAAGCAGTTGGATGCGGTGGACTTGGAGTGATACACGCCCTGTTAGGAACCACCTTATGTGGGGGGAGGGTAGGCGGTGTGTGGGGCTGTACTTGGCTATTGGGCTGTCCTGTCCATGCGCCTAGTTGCGAGCCCCTTAGCATAGGCCTTGTGATCGCGTTCAGGGATCCATCATAACACTCATTCATTTGGTATGCTGCAGTACCATATGCAGTTCCAGCATGGATCGAGCATGTGATTGTAGATATGTTGTAGGTATAAGTGCTGGCATGGTGGACCTGACCTCATATGTGTGTCTGCCTGAATGGGAAAGTGGTCTGCTGTGAAACTCGGGCTCTAGCGAGATGTGGCCCTAGGTTTTTGTTGGGCATACCTCTGTTTGAAGGCGCCCTTAAGAAGCGGTTTAAGAATGCTGGGGGACGGAATGCTTGAGAACACTGTAACAAAACGCTTGAGAACGCTGCAAGAATACTTGAGAATGCTTTGAGAACGCTTGAGAATGTTGTAAGAACGCTTGAGAATGCTATAAGAACGCTGTAAGAACGCTTGAGAATGCTGTAAGAACGCTTAAGAATGGTGAGAGAACGGTGTAAGAACGCTTAAAAATGGTGAGAGAACACTGTAAGAACGCTTGAGAACGCTGTAAGAACGCTTAAGAATGGTGAGAGAACACTGTAAGAACGCTTGAGAACACTGTAAGAACGCTTAAGAATGGTGAGAGAACGCTGTAAGAACGCTTGAGAATGCTTTAAGAACGCTTAAGAATGGTGAGAGAACGCTGTAAGAACGCTTGAGAACACTGTAAGAACGCTTAAGAATGGTGAGAGAACGGTGTAAGAATGCTTGAGAACGCTTTAAGAACGCTTAAGAATGGTGAGAGAACGGTGTAAGAACGCTTGAGAGTGGTGAAAGATTGCTTAAGAATGCGTGAGAAAATGGTTTGAGAATGTCCTTGAGAACGGGTAAGATCGCTGAGAACGCTTGAGATTCCCTGCAAAGAGCGCTCTCTTGAGATCGCTTAAGAACGCTTGAGAAGGCACAATCTTAAAACATGGCAGATAAGAGCGTTCTCAGAACGCTCTTAACAGCGGCATCTACTTGTGCTTTATATGGCTTAAGATCGCGTTGAGAGCGCTCTTAAAGCGGTTTCATTTTGGTAGGGTACGGCACACGGTGCAAGTCATGTTGTGTGATGGCCAGCTCATGAAAACCCAGTCGCCTGCCTTTGTTCATGCTGGGCACAAAGCCACCCCTGAGCCTTGCTTTCAGTTACTCACGGCCCGTCCCCACCCTTGCCATGTCCCTCTTTCCTCCGTTCTGCCCTGCCCATCCAGCCCAACACGGAGATGGGTGCCGCCGCCGCTGAGGTGGACACTGCCATGGCTGCCGAAGGCGCCAAAGCAGGGGAACAGGATGGGCGGCCGGGGGCAATGCAGCTGCTGCAGCTAGGGATGGCGCCGGCGTCAGGCAGCGGGCTGCAGCAGGTAAATGGACATGTCAGGCTGCAAGCCACGGGTTTGTACAGGTGCCAGGCTGACAGCCGAGCCCCTGAACAGGAGCTGGGTTGCCTGTCGTACACGCACATATGTTAGGGTACGGCACATGGTGCAAGTCATGTTGCATGATGGCCAGCTCACGAAACCAATATTATTTTCATCCATATAATTCATCCATATGCAGTTTCCTAAAAATCTCAGGTCCGGAAAGTGTCCAGGGTTCATCAAGGACCGAATTTCTTCAGCATTCCAACCTAAGCTTGGATGAGGAGCGTGCTATTCGTATAGCCAAACAAAAGGAATTCCTTGCAAAGCTAGGACTTCAAGCCATTGTTGACAATATCCGGTCGCCTCGCTCGCCTATCAGACGACAGAGTACCCACTCAGCTCCATTGGAGACTCGCAGATCCACTAGGCTTACTGTCTTATCATCAAAGCTTAGCAAGCAACAAGTGAAGGTATGTGGTGTCCCAACGGGTGGTTAAAGATACCTAGGCGGCGGACCCTACTTTAGGGTTCTCATTTCCTTCCTCTGTGAAAGATCTCAGTTCATAAATATTTACAATGTTTATTGTCATATTGGGTTTAACAATATTCTCTGCTGCAGATGCCGACCCATGCTGCAGAAGCGGCTGTCGTCGAGGACACTGCTGCAGTGGTGGTGAATCACGATCCTGAGATGCATCTTAAAATTTTCTCAGACCAACACAAAACTTGGGCGGAGATGCACAACCTGGATTTGAAGGCCGACGAGGGCCAGCTCCTTGCGGCCATCCTCCAGTGGCCTGAGCAGTATAAACTCTACTGTGGGACTGAGGGCTCCTTTCATCACTCCTTTGCAGTATGTGGAATTCTGGTGGCGAATGGCATGTATGCCCCAGACTTTAACAACCCCAAGCTGCAGGCTATCAACCACTTCACTGAGGACATTAAGTCTGCCCTGCTGTCTGGGGGGCTGAAGCAGTTTGAGCTTGCACTCCTTCTTGCGGGTCTGAATGCACTCTGCCAGGGAGACGTGGGAGCACAGGGTCAGCAGGTCCGGAAGCGTGCAAAGTCTGCTGCAAGCAATGACTGCAGCAAGAGGACAAAACGTACCGCACAGGAGATGGCGGGCTTGCTTGAGAAGGAGTTTCACTGGGACATCATGTCTGCATCCAACTTCAAGGACATCCCGGTAAGGTGTCATGGTCCAGGATTCTTTACTATTCTCCACATACATACATAGAGGGTTTGGCACCACTGGTAAGGCGCGACCATTGCCCCCGGGAGATCCCGGGATCGATACCTGTTAGGGTTGAAGTCCTTCCGATGGTGGAAGACATTGCCCCCTTAGTTGATGGACGGTGGTGACCTGGGGTGAAGATAACCCTCAAGCTGACCAGGAATGGAGTTGGGCCGCTGTCGACCTGGCAGATTCCGTTGGAAATGGAGGTGGGTGCGGAACCTGAGCGATTCACTGAGAAGTTGACTAGGGTGACTGGATGAGGGTGCCCCGAATACCAGGGAAGGCAGGGTTTCGCAGGGTAGCTGCCACGGGTGAAGATACATCCTCCTGTTTCACACATCATACATCCTGATGAAATATTTGCATGGGCTAACCCTAAGACACCCTCCTGTAATGTTGTATGCTTTTATCAATCCACAGGAGGTGAAGGTTCGGATTGCAGAACTTATTAATAAATTTGGCGGAACTGAAGGTGCCGCCACCATGGTAGGCATTAAGGCCAAGGCAAACACAACCGAGGAGGATGTTGCTGAAGAATTGATGAAGTCACTCCGCCACAAATGGAAGAACCTCCGCAACATGGCTAAGAAGACACAGAAAGAGAAGGGTGCGTGACTGTGAACTTGCTAGCCTCATCATGCTTGTATGTATAAGTGGAGACAACAGGACATGTGATGCCTCCCGCTGCCTGCACCTAGTCAATCCATGTGCAATAGCGCTAGCCAGCACATGTGTATGTACACAGGAACCCAAGCTCTATGTATATGTGCATGCATGGTAAATGTCAGTTGCTCCTCAACATGCCATCATCCCTCCTGCTTGCCTACAATATGACCTGGGCATTCATGTCATGCATGACTCTGCAGGTGATGAGCAAACCCTGCCCCAGCAGGGTGCCCAGGTGCCTAATCATAATATTCTGAACACGGCTGAAGATGGCACCGTGGTAGTACAGCAGGACAACACGGCAGCAGGGCCCAGGAAATGCTGCTCCTGCTGACCCCTGCTGCTGGGCCTCCCTTCTGGCACTCTGGGAAAAGGGGGGTCATTTTACCCGTAATTTTGGGTCAATCCACCCGTAATTTGACAGAAATTACGGGTCCGTAACACGTTACGGGTCCCGTAATTTGAGCACAAGGATACAGGTGAACATTTACGGGTGAAGACCCAGTGATTACGGGTGGATTTTACGCGGTGCTGGAGGTTAATTACGGGCGCATGTAACCAATTACACGCAAAATTACGGGTGAAGACCCAGTGATTACGGGTGGATTTTACGCGGTGCTGGAGGTGAATTACGGGCGCATGTAACCAATTACACGCAAAATTACGGGTGAAGACCCAGTGATTACGGGTGGATTTTACACGGTGCTGGAGGTGAATTACGGGCGCATGTAACCAATTACACGCAAAATTACGGGTGAAGACCCAGTGATTACGGGTGGATTTTACACGGTGCTGGAGGTGAATTACGGGCGCATGTAACCAATTACACGCAAAATTACGGGTGAAGACCCAGTGATTACGGGTGGATTTTACGCGGTGCTGGAGGTGAATTACGGGCGCATGTAACCAATTACACGCAAAATTACGGGTGAAGACCCAGTGATTATCGGTGGATTTTACACAGTGCTGAGATATTACTGGCGCATGTAACCAACTACACGCAAAATTAACGGGTGGTGAATAGGGTTGCGGCAAGCCTCAAAATGTGACGCTTACCCCATGTCAAAGTAGCCTAAGTCTCAGTGTGCTTGTGGACCAAGGCGCTTTGGACTCACAACTCCGACCAGCCAGCCTGACAGCCTGATGCATTCATCTCAACCATC